ACCTAGATCAAGGTTTGATCTAGTTCAGTGCCAGGGTTAGTATTTGGGTCAGGGTCAAAGGTCAGGATTTAAAAACAAATTTTGATATCAGTGTCAGTGTGTTTTAGGTAAAAGAAAAAAAGAGACAAAAACAAAATGCGCACTATTGTTTCTGGGCTGTACTCCGGGTACAAACAACAAATAACATCCACATATATGGTATCACTGCGATCGTCAAGAGATGGAGAATTTATTTTGGGTTGTTCTTTGGTGGTAGGTTACGGTAGTAACAAGAAACACAGAGCTAAATTTAAAAAAATGATTTTTTTTTTTACTATTTTGGGCCAGTTTTCCTTTCATAATAAAAAAAAAAAAATCAGGAGACATCCGTTACTATTTGCCACCAAATAAAAGCCCAATTTGTCCTGGAAAAAACGCGGTATAATCCACCTGGATGTACGAAGTAGTTGCGATGATATGGACGGTTTTACTAACACAAAATTGTACTTAGGCATTTAGGTTTGTTTTACCCTTAGGCATGAAGGGGTTAATGAACGATCACATAGTCACAGCAAGGCGATGTTTCGGAATCTCGCAGGACCCCTTCCTCAGGCATGTGATGAAATGCATTGCAGTTGTGAGCTGCAGCGGGCATCAGTGGTAAGTTAATGAAACCCCAAATGCTGGTCAGAAACGCAGTGTGTTTGCCTGCACCAAATGACATGGCACAGAAGTACCATGTGATCCGTTTGCAGTGCGTTTCCAAAGCAGCGAGATTTCGGAATGGGCTGAAATCGCACTGCACTGAATCGCATGTGAGCTGCACAGGAATGCACTATGCAATTCATAAGGTGAACCAGGGCTTTGGATGCACTCAAACTCAGATGTCGGCACTTTTATGTATTGTGTGATGCCTTTTTGACGTCATTTTTATGTGTTTGAGTGCCCCCACTGAAGTCTGTGGCTCCAAAAATGCACAAAAAAAGGCCTTGCATCTCTTTCCAAGTTTTGCAAAAACAGGTTGCATCAGTGTGTATGGACCCTATAGACTACATGAGTCAAAACACAAGGCCCGCGTCCTGAATCTGGCCCGCCAGGCCGTTTCGTGTGGCCCATGCATCTCCCCTGCAGCCTTACCTCCTCCCCAACCTCTTCTCCTCCTTGTTTCAGCAGCTGACAGCAGAGAGGAGGACAGAACTTCTCTGCCAGATCATGTGCCTCTCTGTGCAGCTGCGTAGAGGAGGACAGAAGTGTGGGTGGGGCTCTGGGGATACCTTTCCTTTCCCGCTTGAGTTACGCGGAGTGGTCTTACATAGCCTTTCAGACTCACCGGGACTTTGATTTTGAGACACTTTTTCTAGTTAGAAGCCCATAGCTTCTTGAGCGTGAATCCGAATCCCGCGGCAGATGCATCTCTGTCTCTTTGTTTTTACCTCCCACGCACAGTGCCAGATAGCTCGGTGCTCCTGCGTGTATGTCATGGTTGCCTTCCACTGTAGTAGTAGGCGAATCTGTTTATTGTAATTAATTTTCTACATAGCTCCTGTTATTGTAGTTAACTCTTTCCCTTCTGGTGTCAGATCCTGTTGCTAGTTTTAGCGCGGGGCTCAATAACCGGCATAGGCTAGGGCTAGGCTTCTGACAGCCACTTCTGGAATTTAGAATTCTGGTTGCATAATAGCTTAGAAGTTACTAGGGACTAAGATGGAGAGGAGATAGGCTGACTCTGAGTTCCATTACTATACTACAGCTTCTTCTGGTGAACAGCTATGTTCCAGGCTGTTTGGACAACAGTTGAAGGATCTCCTCATCACCGCAGATCTTGTCTTCAGGTCTACGACACAGTAATGGACGCTCCATCATGATCACCCTCAGGGGCCCCTGCAACTGAACTTTATTGACCTTCAGGTCTGCTACACAGCTTCTGCTGGTGAAAAGCTATTTTCCAGGCTGGTTGGACAACAGTTGAAGGATCTCCTCATCACCGCAGATTTTTGTCTTCATGTCTGCGACACAGTAATGGACGCACCATCGTGATCACCCTCAGGGGCCCCTGCAACTGAACTTTATTGAACTTCAGGTTTGCTACACAGCTTCTGCTGGTGAAAAGCTATGTTTCAGGCTGGTTGGACAACAGTTGAAGGATCTCCTCATCACTGCAGATCTTGTCTTCAGGTCTGCGACGCAGTAATGGATGTGTCATCGTGATCACCTTCGGGCCCCTGCAACTGAACTTTGCTGCATCATTCATCTGGAGGTATTTATATTGATAAGTATGTCTACCTGCGTAGATGCGCACAATTCCACCAGGACTCTTGTTGGGCCCTTTTGCTGGTAATTCATGTTTGTACATTGCATGCATGTTATATTATTAACCTTTTATTATGCAAAGATTGTATTATTTCCATGCTGGTGTGCATCTGTTAATGTGATATGCTGGTTGCAGTAGTTCCTCTGCTCCTATTGACTTTGATTAGATTACTGGTTAATTTTCCAGGAAGGGAAACCCTTCTGTTCACAGCAGGGCCGGATCTAGCTTGTCTGATGTGGGGTTGCAGTAAAAAAAAAAAGGGGGGTCACTGCTGGAAGGAAGGAAAGAGGACAGGAGTCACCACTGGAAATAAAGAGCACGGGGGTCACCGCTGGAAGGAGAGAGGACAGAGGTCACTGCTGGAAGGAGAGAGGACAGAGGTCACAGCTGGAAGGAGAAAGCATGGGGGGGGGGGGTCACTGCTGGGAAGGAGAGAGGACAGAGGTCACCCATGGAAGGAGAAAGCATGGGGGGGGGTCACTGCTGGAAGGAGAGAGGGCAGAGGTCACCACTGTAAGGAGCGATGACAGGGGTCATCGTTGTAAGAAGAGAGGACAAAGGTCACCGCTGGGAAGAAAGAGGGCAGAGGTCACCATTTTAAGGAGAAAGGACAGAGGTCACCCCTGGAAGGAGGACAGAGGTAACCCCTGGAAGAGAGGGCAGAGGTCACCGCTGGGAAGAGAGAGGACAGAGGTCACCGCTGGAAGGAGAAACATGGGGGGGGGGTCACCGCTGGAAGGAGAGGACAGAGGTCACCACTAAGGGAGAAAGCATGGGGGGGTCACCTCTGGAAGTAGAGAGGGCAGTGGTCACCCCTGGAAGAAGAGAGGACAGAGGTCACAGCTGGAAGGAGAGAGGGCATAGGTCACCACTGTAAGGAGAGAGAGAGAGGACCGAGGTCACCGCTGGAAAGAGGGAGGACAGAGGTCACCGCTGGAAGAAGAAAGCATGGGGGGGGGGGTCACTGCTGGAAGGAGAGGACAGAGGTCACTGCTGGAAATAAAGTGGACAGAGGTCACCCCGGGAAGAAGAGTGGATAGAGGTCACCGCTGGAAGGAGAGAGGACAGAAGCCCACCGCTGGTAGGAGAGAGGAAGGGGTCGCCGCTGGTAGGAGAGAGGACAGGGGTCACCGCTGGTAGGAGAGAGGACAGAGGTCACCGCTGGTAGAGAGAGGACAGGGGTCACCGCTGGGGGGGTCACCGCTGGAAGGAGAGAGGACAGGGACACCCTGAAAGAAGAGAGGACAGAGGTCACCACTGGAAGGAGAAACATGGGGGGGGGGGGTCACGCTGGAAGGAGAGGACAGAGGTCACCACTAGAAGGAGAAAGCATGGGGGGGTCACCTCTGGAAGTAGAGAGGGCAGTGGTCACCCCTGGAAGAAGAGAGGACAGAGGTCACAGCTGGAAGGAGAGAGGGCATAGGTCACCACTGTAAGGAGAGAGAGAGGACCGAGGTCACCGCTGGAAAGAGGGAGGACAGAGGTCACCGCTGGAAGAAGAAAGCATGGGGGGGGGGGGGTCACTGCTGGAAGGAGAGGACAGAGGTCACTGCTGGAAATAAAGTGGACAGAGGTCACCCCGGGAAGAAGAGTGGATAGAGGTCACCGCTGGAAGGAGAGAGGACAGAAGCCACCGCTGGTAGGAGAGAGGACAGGGGTCGCCGCTGGTAGGAGAGAGGACAGGGGTCACCGCTGGTAGGAGAGAGGACAGAGGTCACCGCTGGAAGGAGAGAGGACAGGGGTCACCGCTGGAAGGAGAGAGGACAGGGGTCACCGCTGGAAGGAGAGAGGACAGGGGTCACCCTGAAAGGAGAGAGGACAGAGGTCACCACTGGAAAGAGAGAGGACAGAGGTCACCACTGGAAAGAGAGAGGACAGAAGTCACCCCGAAAGAAGAGAGGACAGAGGTCACCTCTGGAAAGAGAGTGTCAGGAATCTAGGAATGACCAGAAAGGTGTGGACTGACACAGGGAAACGCAGGTTTCAGGTATAGTATAATAATACAGTTTATTATTAGCCACCCAGATATATATATATAAACGCACAGTGAACAAACCAACCTTCCACTAATCTTAGGAGGTGCAGGAACACAGGCGTAGTCAGGGCTGGAGAGGTGGAACGGTCAGGCCGGCCGTAGGGTTCTGTAATGACCGTTTGGTGGTACCTCTAGTGGTCCCCAGGACAGGATTCCCCAGGGCGCGGAGTCTAAGTCCCAGTCTGCTTATTCACCAGGGCCCCTGATGGTGGGGATGGACTTGGAGCAGACAGGAACCAGGTCGCGGCCCCTGAGTACACCTGCTAGTGGTAGAGGGATCCGCCAGAGGTATGTGCAGGTACGGCTGGATCCGTGCAGGATGGATGGGTGGCAGAGTAGTAGCGTGGTCAGACGGGCCAAGTCAGCAACGTGCGGGCAGCAAGGTACCAAAGGAGCAGGCAGAGGATGGTCAAGGTCACAAGCTGGGTTCAGTAACTCACGGGCAGCGCGGTACAGGGGATCAGGCAGAAGGATGGTCAGGCAAGCCAGGGGTTCAACAGGAGACGGTCAGCAGAGGTCAGGATCAAGCCGGGTCAGCAACGAAGCAGGAACACAAGATACCAGGTACAGAGGCTCATGGGAAAACATACACCAAGGCCCAGATCACAGGCCTGGTCATGCCCTAAATACACCTTTCTGCAATCAGCCCCAGATTTTGCTGATTGCACGTGTGAGCTTCTGGCTGCTGAGAGCACCCGCTGGTCAGCTCTGGTACTGCAGCCCACATGGCAGGTGAGTCCCACCACCAGTGCTGAGTCCATTCCTGACAGTACCCCCCCCTCAAGGAGTGGCCTCAGGACGCTCCAGACAGTCCTTAGTGGGCAAAATGTTCCACCGCCCGGGTCAGGTAACTGGCTGAATATCCAACTGCCGGAGTAAACCGGCTGGCTGGGTTTCCTGCTGGTAGACTTCTCTTTGTGTAGGAGAACCCAGGAAGGCAGGTCACTGGGCACAGGATTTCCAGGAGCAGGCTGGGAATCAGTTATTGGCCAGTTTAGCTGGACATCAGGGGCTGGCATGTCGGGCTGTGCAGCGGGCACCGAGTCATCTGGCACGACAGCAGGCACCGGGTCACCGGGCACATCAGCAGGCACCAAGCCATCTAGCAGAACCGCGGGCACAGAGTCACCTGGCAAGTCAGCGGGCACCGAGTCACCGGGCATGTCAGCAGGCACCAAATTAACTGGCACAACAGTGGGCACTGAATCAACTGGCACGACAGCGGGCACCAAGTCATCAGGCATCAGGTCATGTGGCTCGACAGCGGGCACCGAGTCAAAGCGGGGCACGCACGACAGCGGGCACCGAGTCATCAAGTCATCTGGCTCAACAGCAGGCACCGAGTCAACTGGCATGACAGTGGGCACCGAGTCAACTGGCACCGAGTCAACTGGCATGACAGCGGGCACCGAGTCAACTGGCACGACAGCGGGCACCGAGTCATCAAGTCATCTGGCTCAACAGCAGGCACCGAGTCAACTGGCATGACAGTGGGCACCGAGTCAACTGGCACCGAGTCAACTGGCATGACAGCGGGCACCGAGTCAACTGGCACAACAGCGGGCACCAAGTCAACTGGCATGACAGTGGGCACCGAGTCAACTGGCACCGAGTCAACTGGCATGACAGTGGGCACCGAGTCAACTGGCACGACAGCGGGCACCGAGTCAACTGGCACGACAGCGGGCACCGAGTCAACTGGCACGACAGCGGGCACCGAATCATCAGGCATCAAGTCATCTGGCTCGACAGCGGGCACCGAGTCAACTGGCACGACAGTGGGCACCGAGTCAACTGGCACCGAGTCAACTGGTACAACAGCGAGCACCAAGTCAACGGGCATGACAGTGGGCACCGAATCATCAGGCATCAAGTCATCTGGCTCGACAGCCGGCACCGAGTCAACTGGCACCGAGTCAACTGGTACGACAGCGGGCACCAAGTCAACTGGCACGACAGCGGGCACCGAATCATCAGGCATCAAGTCATCTGGCTCGACAGCTGGCACTGAGTCAACTGGTATGACAGCGGGCACCGAGTCAACTGGCACGACAGTGGGCACCGAGTCAAATGGCACCGAGTCAACAGGTACAACAGCGGGTACCAAGTCAACGGGCACGACAGCGGGCACCGAATCATCAGGCATCAAGTCATCTGGCTCGACAGCGGGCACCGAGTCAACTGGCACGACAGTACAGCGAGTGGGAGCAGGGTACTGACATGTGGTAGATAGCAGGGTATACTGGGCTGTCACTGGGGGTGCTGTCGGGAATGCAGGAAAAGAGCTTTGAGCAGAGGAATGATGAGAAACAGGACTGGTTCGTTGCAAGCTGATTGAGGCTGGGTGTAACAAGTCTGACCATGTCTGCAGTAAGGGTTGGACAACGCTCAGCTTACACAAGGCCTGTCTGGTCAAAGATTGCACTGCGTTTATACACTTCTTTAGCACATGTGGTGAACATGCTGAATAATGCTCCAGAAGCAATCTGGATCATCCTCCAACAACCATACCAGTGATATTATTTGACTCACCCTGAATGGAGGAAGAAATTCATCCCTGCTTTCAGGGGTACTAGATGAAGCCAACTCAACACAAGCCTGAATCAATGGTTGCACCTCAGAGAGCTCTAGGTCCTGACCTACTAGGGAATGAGCGACCCGTATGCACTCTAGCAGCTGATCCCTGGTATAGAGGTCACCGCTGGAAGGAGAGAGGACAGGGGTCACCACTGGAAGGAGAGAGGACAGGGGTCACCACTGGAAGGAGAGAGGACAGGGGTCACCGCTAGAAGGAGAGAGGACAGAGCTCACCACTGGAAGGAGAGAGGACAGGGGTCACCGCTAGAAGGAGAGAGGACAGAGCTCACCGCTGGAAGGAGAGTGGACAGGGGTCACCGCTGGAAAGAGAGTGGACAGGGGTCACCGCTGGAAGGAGAGAGGACAGAGCTCACCGCTGGAAGGAGAGAGGACAGGGGTCACCGCTGGAAGGAGAGATGACAGAGCTCACCGCTGGAAGGAGAGATGACAGAGCTCACCGCTGGAAGGAGAGTGGACAGAGGTCACCACTGGAAGGAAAGAGGACCGAGGTCACCACTGGAACACAGGCAGCAAAACCTCCTTCTCGGTTCCTTTCCACACAGCACAGAACTGAAATCCAATTCCCTAGCACACTCCTACGCTCTGCACCGTCTGTAGCCATTACTGAGCTGCACTTCGGACCTCTGAATTTCCCTGCTCAGAATGGCAGCACAGCTGCAGTAACCGGCTACACATAGCTGCGTCTAGGGGAGCCGGATCTCAGCTCTGTGTATGTATGTGCAGGGATGGGGGACAGCCGAGCCACGTGTTAGGTGTGGAGGGGGCTTGTGGGTGGGAACCTTTAAAAAGGGAGGGGGGGTACATCTGTAACCTGGGGGGGCAGATGCTGGACCTCAGATCTAATTGTCGGTGTCAGCCTACTGGGCGGCTCTGCAGCGTTCATTCGGCCATTTTATTTACTTTGGAAAACTTATAATAAACTTGTCTGCCGCCATCTAGTGGGCATTATGTAGTATTTTCTGGGATTAAGCTATTTGGGTAAATACCGCGTTATGGCCACCAGATGGAGCTGACAATCAGAGGAAATAAACATATTGGGCACATTAAGGGCATTATACTTTAATAAACAGACCACATAATCTGCTTACAATGGCCCAGATCAGTGGTCTCCAAACTGTGCCCTTTGCTCACCTTTATCAGGCCCTTGGGGCACTTTTCCTCCCCACTGACACCAACAATGGGGCATAATTCCTGCTACTGACATCAACATCAAGGCACTATTTCACCTATTCATACCAATTGATGAGGCACTATTCCTTCCATTTACACCAGTGGTGGGGCACTATTCCTTCCACTGACACCAATGATGGGGCACTATTCCTTCCACTGACACCAATGATGGGGCACTATTCCTTCCACTGACACCAATGATGGGGCACTATTCCTTCCACTGACACCAATAATGGGGCACTATTCCTCCCACTGACACCCATGATGGGGCACTATTCCTCCCACTGACACCCATGATGGGGCACTATTCCTCCCACTGACACCCATGATGGGGCACTATTCCTCCCACTGACACCCATGATGGGGGCACTATACCTCCCACTGACACCAATGATGGGGCACTATATGATGGGCACCCACTGACACCAATGATGGGGCACTATACCTCCCACTGACACCAATGATGGGGCACTATTCCTCCCACTGATACCAATGATGGGGCACTATTCCTCCACTGACACCAATGATGGGGCACTATTCCTCCCACTGACACCAATGATGGGGCACTATTCCTCCCACTGACACCAATGATGGGGCACTATTCCTCCACTGACACCCATGATGGGGCACTATTCCTCCCACTGACACCCATGATGGGGCACTATTCCTCCCCTGACACTGGGGACACCAATGATGGGACACTATTCCTCCACTGACACAATGATGGGGCACTATTCCTCCCACTGACACCAATGATGGGGCACTATTCCTATTCTATTCCTCCCACTGACACCATGATGGGGATTCCTCCCACTGACACCATGATGGGGCACTATTCCTCCCACTGACACCAATGATGGGGCACTATTCCTCCCACTGACACCTAATGATGGGGCACTATTCCTCCCACTGACACCAATGATGGGGCACTATTCCTCCCACTGATACCAATGATGGGGCACTATTCCTCCCACTGATACCAATGATGGGGCACTATTCCTCCCACTGACACCAATGATGGGGCACTATTCCTCCCACTGACACCAATGATGGGGCACTATTGATGGGGCACTATTCCTCCACTGACACCAATGATGGGGCACTATTCCTCCCACTGACACCAATGATGGGGCACTATTCCTCCCACTGACACCAATGATGGGGACTATTCCTCCCACTGACACCAATGATGGGGCACTATTCCTGACACCCTACTCCCACTGACACCAATGATGGGGCACTATTCCTGATGATGGGCACTATTCCTCCCACTGACACCAATGATGGGGCACTATTCCTCCCACTGACACCAATGATGGGGCACTATTCCTCCACTGACACCAATGATGGGGCACTATTCCTCCTCCCACTGACACCAATGATGGGGCACTATTCCTCCACTGACACCAATGATGGGGCACTATTCCTGACACCACTGACACCAATGATGGGGCACTATTCCTCCCACTGACACCAATGATGGGGCACTATTCCTCCACTGACACCAATGATGGGGCACTATTCCTCCACTGACACCAATGATGGGGCACTATTCCTCCCACTGACACCAATGATGGGGCACTATTCCTCCCACTGACACCAATGATGGGGCACTATTCCTCCACTGACACCAATGATGGGGACACTATTCCTCCCACTGACACCAATGATGGGGCACTATTCCTCCCACTGACACCAGATGATGGGCACTATTTCCCCTGACACCAATGACCAATTCCTGATACCAATGATGGGGCACACTCCCAATGATGGGGCACTATTCCTCTCCAATGACACCAATGATGGGGCACTATTCCTCCCACTGACACCAATGATGGGGCACTATTCCCCCCACTGACACCAATGATGGGGCACTATTCCTCCCACTGACACCAATGATGGGGCACTATTCCTCCCACTGACACCAATGATGGGGCACTATTCCTCCCACTGACACCAATGATGGGGCACTATTCTCCCACTGACACCAATGATGGGCACTATTCCCCCCACTGACACCAATGATGGGGCACTATTCCCTCCCACTGACACCAATGATGGGGCACTATTCCTCCCACTGACACCAATGATGGGGCACTATTCCTCCCCCTGACACCAATGATGGGGCACTATTCCTCCCGCTGACACCATTGACAGGGTGCTTTCTCCTCCCACTATAACAAGGAAGCATTGTTTACTCCCACTGATACCAGGACAAGGAGGTGCACAGCATTAGTTTTATTGGAGGACAGGTGAGACAGGTGGTACCCGCAGGTGTTGAACCTAGCCTACGATTGGCAGATGATTGGATGAATCGTCAACAAATCATTACTTTGCAAATTTGTTCTTCGGCTTCTTGTATTTGAAAGCAGTTTATGGGTAATGTACAGAGTGCAGGGATCAGGAATGTGTCATCTACTGAGTGCAGGGGTCAGGAATGTGTCATCTACAGAGTGCAGGGGTGCATGGGTAATATATAGAGCACAGGGATCAGGAATGTGTCATCTA